CAAGATCAATATCCTCATGACTTACTGTAAGGTTGTGACCCAAGCCTTAGCTGCACCGGGAGTCTCTGCACACAAAAAGTAATCTTTCTTCTGTGGTGTACCGATATCTATGTCATGTTCAAGAAAACTCAACTCTAGATTCCAGTTAACTATGTCCTTCATGCCTCAAGGATATATAGCACAGAGAAAACAGAATTAAAAGCTTGCCAACATTTTACTAGAGCAAGGATACATATACAACAACCATTATATTTTGGAAGCCCCCTGAAACACAAAAGAAAAACATATTCAATAACAGGAAGATATACACTCAATAACGCTGATTACCCAGAACAAGAAAAGAAAATGTAGCATCCATACTGGAAGTTAACAGGAGATATGGAAATTGTGCTACTTTCATCAAACTGAATTGTTCCCTTGATAGTTGGTTCGTTTCGTCTTGTCCTGAATTATAGAAGTACATGAGAACTAAAATTTACCCATGATGAAGTGATCTCAACACGAAAATGAATTGACATAAGCAACTGATATTAGACTCACTTGTACTCCATTTTCCCTGTTGTTGGATCAAGTATAACCCATCGCTCGTTCCATTTTCTCAGCTATTCATACATACAGAGACAAAAATGGTACATTGTGAGCTTTTTATTGTCACAAGACTTACTTCTCAACACCAATTAATGCTTCAGCTATACAACAAGTCCTTTATTTCGACCAATCAAACAAGTCCTTAAAAGAAACCACAAGAGTTCTTAATTTCCAGATGCTTCATGTCCAATAGTGAGAAATCATAGCGCTAAATTTCCCTAACATGAAACCCAATCACCAAAGCAAGCGGCTTTTTGATCATTTCACTCAAAATTGAAGAGACACAGTCAAAGAGATTGAGAGATAAATCGAGCTTACAGTTTCAGACCGCTTGTAAAGCGGTCCCTGTAGCAAGTTCCGACCTGAGCCAGATGCAAGTTGCCGTTTGATCTTATCCAAGCTGTTCTCCGTAGCATCAACAAGTCTCTGCTCATTTGAAAAATTGCCCACAAGAAAAATGGGTCAATTTAGAGTGTAAAATAGAAAACCATCCAAAAGCATAAGACCAAATTGGAGTACAGATCCAGAGAGAGAAAAAGAGACCGGAGAAGCGCCGTTGGAAGCCATGTGAATTGGGATCGGCAAGATCGGAAAGCTATTGTTGATCGATGAATCGAAAGATGAGGGTTTTAGAGGTTTCTTAAGGTATGGAGCTGAAGAACACGAAATGGAC